TTGTGCTCTTGAATTTAAAGTGTAAGCAGTTATAGTTACGATGATGATATATCACATAATTATCTTTTATAGCATATTGGTCTTGAAGAATTGAAATAGCAAGATCATTATATTACTTAAACATGCTCTCTCACTCTTAACATCCAAGATATAAATGGTTAATCTTGATGATCAATATCTCATACATACTGTTATGTCTATGTGTAGACATGTGTTTCTTGGATTTAGAGCTGTTCGAAAATGTTATATATGATGTTCTTCACAAAATGAGATCAAAAAGTGATTATGCGTTAGATAACTGGGGAACATAAATTTAAGTGATGCATGATTAATTTATTAGTGGGGGCTATTTGTTCCTTCAAATTGAATATGAGATGCATATATAATTATATATCTTTGTGACATGGTTTTAAAGATTTGAATCATGTACTAAAATTATTTGTATAAAGATATAATAAGTATATATCAAAGTCTTTGGTTGCAATTTGTTTGTAGCATGGAGTTGAAGAGTCATTATTCATGTATACTCTTTGCATAGCTCAGTCTTGCCAATGAGATTGTCTCCTCATATTTTAATATGGCACATGCATACTTATATGATAATAGACTACCATATGCAAATGATTGTCTTGAGCATTAGTAGTCATATATTATTGGCATTGACCATGTCCCTTAAAATTATCATAATGACATGATTTAGAAGATGGTTTGTCTATATCTTTGCATTCAATTGATTATTATCTTTTGAGAGCATGTTAAACATTAAATATATATTGTGACAAGCATTTTAGAAATCACCTTTCCATATTTTGTATGGTGAGTGCTTTGAATATTATATAGAAAATTAACAGCGGTGTACACAAAGATAAGTGAATTGTTATTATTCACATGTATGAGCTTTATGAATTTGTTGTGTTAGAAGTGATGATTTAACACTACTGCTGCTAAGTGATTAAATCATCAATATGATATAAAGCTTATAAATTGTGTACTTATGCACATGTCAATTTACAACATTATGTGTTATTATTGTGGATATGTTACAAACATTGCACTATTTGATGAGATACATACTATATTACAGTCACATAATCTTAAATATTTAAATTGTGTACTGAGTTTAATTTCAAAGGCTTTACTCACATTTATGGTGGTAGCATGGAAAAGTCATTGTTCTTGAATACTCTGTCTAGGAAGATGGTTTTTAAGAAAACTTCAGTTTCACTACTCGACCTGGGAGTTTTAAGAAGTAGGGTGTTGATCATGCAGGCTAGTTAGAGCGCCACTTGATCTTCACCTGAAATGAGGTTGACTCTCATATGTTGTTAATCAAAGCCTTGCAATAGAAATTGTTGAAGTACTGCAATAGTAATATTGATCTGCATCCTATGAATGCTTAATATGAGTTTTAATTTTCTCAAGGGAATGGAAAATTGTGCAAGTGGCAACTCTGAAGTCTCATTGTTGAGAGATATTTCTGAATAAATATGAGCTCGAACATATTCCTTGTGTATAACATTAATTTCTTATAAGAATATGATGTGAAATTTATGATTATGTTGTTCAACTTGATGTAGCATGTGGACAACATTATTTCTATGGCTTACTAACAATGAGCGTTTGTAGATATATATATATATATATATATATATATATATATATATATATTATTTAAACTCTTGGTTGAGTCATATTGAAATACCTATAATTCCTAATTAAAGGGTAATTGTGATCAATTGAGATAACCAAGTTTGTTGAAATATATTCAACTGTTGAGCATGTATCAAGCAGAGTGCGAAGCTTCTATAATGCTCCACAAAGCAAATCGGCAAAACTCAGTCTACAAAGGAGCTAATGTTGGGCACCAAAGATCAGTCTGGGTAAGAGATCAAATACATTTGACAACAAATATTTGTAAGTGTTGCATTGTGGGGGTAATAAACTCCTTATATTCTCATCAAAAGTTTCTCTGTGGTATTGAGAATAATGATGAAAGAGAATGTTTCATGTTAAACATGAAAATATCAAGGGATTATTTACGAGTAAACAAAGTACTCGTCAAAGTGCATGTAAGTTTGGTCAAGAGAGTCAACTTACTTGAGGGCTAATTATGAGGATTAGTCGCTGACTCATTGGAAGGACTTAAAGTCCAAGTGGTAATGAATTCGTGGTGGATCCCACTTTTGTGGTCAAACGAAGCCATGAAAAGAGTTACAAAATAGTACACTAGTTGGTCATTCCGACAGTGTGTGTACTTGTGAGGTTGAGCTACAGCTCTTAATGAATTCATAACTCTTTGAGAAAGGGTGATTTTGTTGAGACAAACCTAATGAATTCACCGCATAATGACATGAGTACAAAGTGCTATTGGTGACTTATACTCAATTGGGATGGTTTATGTTGAGGTAGACCTAAAGAGATCCCTAACTTGAGTAGAAAAGGGCTAACCGCCTCTTATGAAAGATAATGGGGTTATTCCAAGAAGCTGAGTGACTAAGAAATATGTTGATAAACGTGGAGTTTTGGGGGTGTCTAGCTAACACCTTCACTACATATACATTGTGATTCACAAACTGTTGTTTGCATTGCAAAGAACAATGCCTATGATAGAAAGAAAAGACTTACAACTGATTTATGTACTTAACTACTCTATAAGCCTTTAAAGGTGGTCTATACTGAGATAGACTTGATAGAGTTAAAAGTCTATATTGAGATGGACTTGACAAGACATAAAAAACTATAATGCGATTAGACTTGTCAGAGTTAAAAGTCTATGGTGAAATAGACTTAGACATGGTGGAAGTCTATATTAAGATAGACATAACAGACTTGTATAAGCTAGATCAACAATGGAGAATGAATTTATACCTCTTGATCTAGTTGGGCAAAAAGCCGAGTGGCTGAGAGACCTACTGGCAGACGTGCCATGGTGGGGGTGTGCTACATCGTCTATGCACATACACTGTAACTCACAAAGAAGGCACATAACGGTCATACATGAGTCTGTAAGACAGTTGATTACGACTGGAGCACTCACATTAGAGTATATGGAGCCCGAGAAGAATAGCAGATCCTCTCGCTAAAGGACTAAATAGAAAGGCTGTCCTCGATACATCGAAGGAAATGAGCTTAAAATCAACAAATTAAGCCAAGCTTACGTACTCATAAAGCAACTGAACATGAGATGTTCTAAGCTAGGGTCTACACAGAGGTAGAACACAAGTCAAAGAGTTTGACTTCCGAAGAACCTGCATAATGGGTGCTGATGTGTGCACATGAGTTCAAACCTACCTCTCCTTTGCTAGTTCAAGATTCAATTCACTACTAAGGAGAAAGTTACTCAAGTCACTACGTGTCAGTTCAAGGTTTAAACCACTGGCATTAAGGTCAGCGCTCACTTCCGCTCAGACATCGACTTCATTCACACTTGTTGAGTGTGTGGGGGATGTTGGGAATAACACCCAAACAAGTGTGGATTATTTCCATCCACAATAAATTGTGGAGTGAGGTTTAACTCCTACAAATGTGGTCCTCTCCACCACTCCCCTATTTTAGTGGAAATTGAATGGCTAAGAGAGGAGGAGCAGGTAATTCTATAGCTATAAATACCCTGCTCCTCCTGAGCTCTAAACGCTCAATACATTCTTCTCTTCTTCTCTTCTGCAATCCTGAGCTTCGATGTTAACTGGTCGAAAGCAACCGGTAAGACTGTTACCGTCTCCGGGCAATATTTGCTTTTAAGGTAGTGTCTTGCGCACGTCACCGATTGATTCAGGATTTCTTCTATACTCAGCCTATGTAAACAGTAGCCTAGATCTACGACATATTCTGACCAATTTTCCAACAGCCATACCAGACCTGAGTGCTTTTATTTTTATAAAGATCAAAGACATGAGAAGTTCACCCACAAACACATTGCACATTTTGTAAAACAAGTGTGGATTAGAAAAACTGACTTCGTATTTCAGTCAATTCCAATAACATCTCAAGGAAGGGAAAATGATAATTGGCAACTTTGTTGATTATGAATCTGGAATTGAAAATAATAGGTATGTTAATTTACTATTTATTTTATTTGTCATTTCTAATAAGGTTGTTTGTTTTTCAGGAACAGGATTAATACTTTATCAACCAAGGGATTTTTAAATTGATTTGACTTCTAACTCGTATAATTTTTTTTGTTCTATCAATTTGATTCAACTTTAAGTTCATGTATGCAATTTGTGCTTTCATTATCTGCTCATTTAAATGTGCCTAAGGTGAATTTTTCCTAATATTATGTGCGTATATTTGTATGTGAACTTGTTTTGGATGTTTCTATGTGTTCATTAAATATCCATATCAGTTGATCAAATATTGTGTACCTATTTATCTGCTCCAATGAGGCAATGATTGATGTCTGAATTTGAAATATTGATTGTTTTTATGTTATTTGATTTCTTTTCCTCTGTGTTATTTGTTTGGTCCGGTCATGACCGTGTTCGTGTCTGTTATTATTTGTGTGCGTTTTGTGCTACTTACTATGAATTTGTGTTTGAATGTGTTTATTACTTGGATATGCTTTATTTTCTCTATCTGCTCCAACTTGATTTTTGTGTCTATATGTGTTTATGTGTTATTTGCTTAATTGTTATCAAGTTCTGCGTTTCTCGTTTCTAATTTTCTTGTGCAGGTTCAGTCCAATCGGGCACTCCGTCAGACTCAATCCACTAATATAGATGTTCATCTTTGTCAATTTATTGACAAAAAGGGGGAGTATATAATAAGGGGGAGTATGGTTGGAATAAGGGGGAGAATTATGATCTTTGGTTGAAGTATGCCTTGTGTCGGTATGTTGTGTTGGTATGTTTGAAAATCTGGTAATCTGGGTAATTTCTCCTACTTTATTGACAGCTCCTTTATTTGGATGATTGAGCTTTTATTTATCTTAACAATCTATTATCTCTTTTTGATATTCTGGGCTTCTACTTATTATCTCACTGTTGGTACTCTATTGGAAGTATCAGTTTGCTTGTTGTGTATATGACAGCTCTTCGGCTCTATATTATGGGTGGAGCACGGTCCAAGTATCTGGGTAATTGTTATTTTTGTTTTGTAGGTTACTCTGTTTTTATATATATATATATATATATATATATATATATATATATATATATATATATATATATATATCCATTGTGGGAAAAAAATGATTTGCTGAGATGGAAAAAACGATATCAAATTTCTACCAAGATAACTGGAAATTCCAACTAATAAGAATCCTAATGAACCTAAAAAAATGGATAAAAGCCCAGCAGAAATTACTTATTTTTCGAGACCCTGGTAGAAGTTCTATCCATATATGTTCTGATCGCCAACTCATACTTGATCCGATTGTATTTTATTGGAATTTAGATAATACCCCAGAAAAATTGAACTTTGCTGTTTCCGAAGTCATCCTCATCAACTAGCACTAGTTTGATGGGAACCTTTAGGAGTAATTCATCAACTTGGTTAGATCTAAAATAAGAACCCCTATATATATATATATATATATATATATATATATATATATATATACACTAAGGGCTTCTTTTAATAAAATTGTTTGTCTTTTAAATTTTCTTGCCCAAAGTATATATATCTTAGTTTTTGCCAAATAAATTGTCAAAGGGGGAGATTGTAAGTGTAAAATTTAATACACATTAAAACCCTATATGTTGACTAATTTATTTGTCAAAATAAATTAGATTTATTTTAGAAGTAATCTTGAAAGATGTTTTTCTTCTGGTATAGCACTTGAAATAATGTCTACAATCGTGTGGTATGAAGTGGTGGTCAACAGGTTATGTGGATTTGAATACTATAATTGAGGAATTTTTTTATTTTTATGGTTATGGTTTGTTTCGAAGGGGTGGACAACATTGATATGAGAGAAGGTTGTTTTGGAGCTAAAGCATTATAAAAGGAAATACTTTCCTTTACTGAAACAGACGAATTACTATGCTGACAAATTGAGAGGAAAATTTTCAAATACACTTCTACTTGACTATATTGACTAGCGTGTTAGCATTGCTGGAGCAGTATTCTAAACCTGGTTCTGCATCAAGAATTGAAGTATAAAATCGCTTGCACGTATCAATTCTAGTACGTGGTATAAAATCAAACATTTTCCATATGTGTTTTATTCATAGTGTGCGGTATTTTTCCTATATCACCACCATAGCGTACCTTTGTGGGCATGTATATGTTGATTATAAACCTCTGTGTGTTATTTAAATCCTTAGAACCCATGATATGGGATCAATATATATTTAGGTATGCAGACTGCACACTTTATGAAGATCATTTCACGGTATTAGGGGGAGATAAGAGCTCAAATTTAATAGAATGCCGAGAAATTCTATGGATGATTGATGAAAAAGATCTTCAATATTTAAATCCACGTACTAGGTAGACTGAACTAGAATTTCAGAAGATATAAACTGAACTAGAAGTTCAAAAGATAAATAATATGCCAATCTATATACTAATAAAAAGAGTGACTAGGTCCCATATGTCGTCCCCAACTTGGACCGTATGTATCTATCAATGCTCCTTGACGCTAGAAGCGTGGAGACATGTCGGTATAAAAGACAAGAATCCGTGGAAAGCTAAATCTAGTAGAAAATTTTTCTCACTCTTGAAATCGCTTAAAGAAGTATGTCCTGAAGACTTCGTCCAGAAGTCGAAAAACTCGAGTAAAATTATAGGTGCACCCAAAATCATAATGCTGGGAATGCGGAACAACTAGATAAAAATATCTTTGGGAAATGACTAGAGTCTGGTTGAATTAGAAATCGCCATTATTTTATATATATATGGGAGAAATTTATGAAAAATGTTATAGTTGTTGACAACACAATTGCCTTATAAATTGCTCCCAATATATGAGAATCTGGATCCAGGGCTAGGCACCGGTAGTGCCCTGATTTTTTAATGTATAAAAGAGCAATTAAGGCACATACAACTCAGCTCGCTAAAACTGTATTCTCGTTATGACATGTACACCATTTTATTTTAACCTTGTAGGTTACAAATGGGTGTTTGTACAAAAGAGAAATATAAATAATTGGGTGGTATGATATAAAGCGAGACTATAGTAGCTTAAGAGTTTACACAGAGACCCTGAATTGATTTTGATCAAATATTCTCTCCCACAACATATGGCATTACGTTCCGGTAATTAACATCATTGGCAGTGAATTGTAAATTTAGATATGCAGTTGATGAACGTCATGACCGCAAACTTATAGGTCATTAGATGCTAATATTTATTTGTAAATCCCCAATGGATTCAACACTTTTGAAATGAGGAAAGTGAAAATCGCAACATGTATCATTAAACTACTAAAGTCTTTGTATGACTTGAATATTAATGACTGAGCGTTTTCCCCCCGAAGAAGGAATATGCAAATAACATATACCATTATGTGTTCGTTAAAGAATTGCTAATGGAGTTATTTATTTATCATCACAATCGATATTGATGGTTTAAATGTTATTGAAACATAGAGAGCTTGCTGATATTAGCTCGTGTCGAAAGATGGAGTTTTGAAATAAAAGACTTGGGAAACCCAAGTATTGTCTCGACCTGAAGATCGAGTTTCTCCTTGAAGAAGTTTTATACACCAATTAGCCTACTTGAAAAATGTCTTGAAAATGTTTTATATAGATAAGTATCATTTATTTATCACACTAATGGTTGTCCAATAATCTCTTGAAGTAGATAAGGGGCCATTTAGAAGATGATAATGAGGATATTTTGGTACTGGAAGTCCATTACTTCGTTGGAGCACTATTGTAGAACTAGAAGTTCCATAGTCGCATCAGGCCTAATATTGAATTTGCGATGAAATTGCTAGCAACATTTAGTGTTTCCCCCTACAATGAAAATTGAAATGGTATTTAACATATCCTCTAGCATCTTCGAGGTACAAAGATTTTGACGCTTATGTGAGAAACCAATATGTGGTTTTGATGGGCTACTTGAGTACTTGCTCTTTTATTTGATCCCTATGATGCCAAGTCCAAAACTGGTTATGTTATATTTTTACCCCCAATGTCCCATATGATGACAAATAAGATTGTGTTGCACAAGCAACTAATAGGTTTGTTAAGGGGAACCTTACAAAACATATTGTACCTAAGTCCTTCTACACACATGAACTCCAGAAGAGTGGTGAAATTGTTGTTGAGAAAGTTTGCCCCTGTGAACAATCTTGCAGATATGTTCACTAAGCATCTGTCTACATCCACTTTTGAGTAATATGTTCATAAAATTGGGATGCGTAGGCTTAGGAGATTGTTATCTTCAGAGAGGGGGAGGGGGGGGGGGGGACAACTCCTAGCTGCACTAGAATGAACAATCTAGAAGGCTTTTGAAATCCTAAAGATTATGCTCTGAAAGTATATGGTTGTACTCTTTTTCCCTTAGCTAAGTTTTTTCCAACAGGGTTTTCTTATGCTAAGGTTTTTAATAAGGCAACCGATGTTGGTGCACTTGAGTGGATAGTCTTGAAGACCCTTGAAATCTTGAAGATTATGTCCAGAAGGCTTATGGTTGTACTCTTTTTCTTAGCTAAGTTTTTTTTCTCATTGGGTTTTCTTAGACTAAGGTTTTTAATGAGGCAGCCGGTGCATCACGTGGTTCAACATACTTCGTGTACTCTTTTCCTCATCTAGGTTTTTCCAATTGGGTTTTTCTTTTAATTTTAAGTGAAAGTAGGTGCGTTTTTAAAATTTGTTTTTGTTTGTAAGTGGGCAAATTAGATCTAATTATATGTAGTGTGTCTGGATCAGAAATAATAATTTCATTTCATCTAAAAAGTCTCTTGATTATTATCATAATTATGGATAATATGTGGAAAATTTAGACATTGTAACGATAATAATATGCAAAAACATTTTTAATTTCTATAATTTCTCAGTCCAAAATTTTTATCCTTTTATGAGCTAAAGTATATTGTCTCATCATGTCATAGAATTGGATCTTACTAATTTCTTCTTTAGGTATTTGGTAATTGAGTATAATTTGAGACTAGTAGTCTTTGAGTTTTTACAATGGTTAGGGGCCGTTTACTAACTGAAAATTTTTGGGAATTTCCGGAAACTGGAAAATAGAAAACAGAAAACATGTTTACTAACACAGTTTTCATTTTCAAAACTGAAAATAATTTCTGGAAATTTATGAAAAATTGAAACACACTTAAAAACTGTTTTCAAAATAGAAAACAGAATCATCTATCATCTATTTAGTTATATGTAACCACATTACTATGATTACATTCAGTATCATCTTATTTACTTATCACTATCTTCTATCTTTTCTACTTACCTTACTTATTTAAACATAATTTATTTGCTTACACTTTAAAGTTAGACATTATTTACATTATCAAAATTAAGAATTAAACTCTATATAATGTTTTAGATTTTGATTGAACTCAATAGATTATTAGTTCGAATATTTTTAATTATGTTACATCATAATACAAGTTCGGTCTAGATATCGAATATTGAAATCTCACATATATTAGAATTCAAAGTAAAAGTTATATATTCATATACATGTCATTCAAATGAATATATCCAAAAAAAAAATATATTTTAAATATTAGCTCAAAAATATTAATTTTATCTAAACTAAATTTTAGGTGAAAACTAAAAAATTAGAAAACAGAAAACAAAGAACAGTTTTATGTTAGTAAACAAGTTTTCTAAACAGAAAACAGAGAATTGAAAACAGAGAATGAAAACTGAAAAATTAGAAAACGAAAACAGAGAACAGTTTTCTGTTAGTAAACGGACCCTTAATCTCTTCTTTAAAATTTGTTCTTGTTTTTATAAAAGCAAATTTGATTTAATTAGTGCAATTATGTTGGGATCTGTTATACAAATTTCTCTTCTAACAGGTTTGTTAATTTTTATTTCTTCCATCTTTTAGTAAAAGATGCTAAAATTATTCTGTTTCAGCTTTACTGTAGTAATTTTCATAATTATTATCAGATTCATAATTTATGAAATAAACAGGGGATGAATATCTGTAAGATTCTACTATTTCATAATTTATGTATGCATGTTGTTGGTGAAATTCTGCTTCAAAATTTTTAATGTGTTTTGATTGGGAAACCAATTCAATTATTTCTTCAATCAATTTTTTAAATTTTTTTCTTCAAAATCTATTTCAAATTGTTCTTTTAATTTATCTAATATAAATTTTTGTTGGAATGTGAAAAAATTTAGATACTTCATAATTTGTTTTACCAAGTCTGGGTAAGGAAATCTCTTGAGTAGATAATAAATTTTTTCATTAAAATTTGGTATATCTATTTGTATATTCAAGAAATTTTTCATCTAAATAATATGTCGTGAAATTATTTTCAAAATTTCTTTCTACTTGAAAATTTTTATTGTTTCCAAAATAGTCTTGAATGTTGTAATTGGTTAGTTGTGGTAGTTGGCATGTTACCTCCTAGCCGGTGAATTGTAAACAATATATAGTAGAGATCGAAAATAGAGACAATGTAATAGGGAGAAGAGTCCGAATTATTATTATCACTTTCATCATCGCCCTCTTAGAGAGGAGCTAAAACATATATATAATAATAAACTATAACGGAAAGCATAAATGGGGACAAAAATATGTCCATTACATGATAATGTCGACTAAGAATTCATTGAGAGTAGGATCAGAATCCAATGCTGCCAATGAAAATGTTAGAAAGAAATTATGACCTTAGGTATAACAAAGGATAACAAAGGAAAAAATTAAAATGAATTTGATGGAAATATAAGTACATGGGGATGTGGAATGACGAATAAATCAAGTCATGCTCTACAAAAAATAATAACATTTTTATCAAATTAACGAGTTTTATATTTACAATTTTTGAACTATATATTCACAATTACAATATCTCTATATTCACAATTACATAACTATATAAACACAATTACATAACTCAATATTCACAAGTAAATCAACACTATAACACATTTTGTGAATTTTATATTCATAATTATAAAGCTCTATATTCACAATGTCATAACTCCATATTTATAGTTATATGACTTATATCAACAGTATCACACAATTTTTGAATCTATATTCACAATTTTTGTATTTTATATTCACAACTTTTGAACTCTATATTCACAATTACATATCTCTATATTCATAATTATATAATCACAATTACACATTTTATGAACTCTATATTCACAAGTAGATCAACCGTATAATACATTATATGAACTCTATATTCACAATTATAAAATTCTATAGTCACACTGTTATTACTCTATATTAATAATAATATCAACAGTATCACAATTTTTTAATTTATATTCACAATTTTTGAACTCTATATTCAACAAATTTTGAACTCTATATTCACAATCTTTGTACGCAATGTTCCACGATTTAGAACTCAATAATCCTAAAATGCCACGTTTTATAAACCCTAGTCTCTATTCTCTGGACTCAATCGGGTTGGACCCGGTGTCATTCCCCCAACAGTTTGGCAAATTAATTTGTGGACATGGGTACGTTGCACCTTGCAAAGTGGACCTGAATTCAAAGATATACAATATACGTATTAAATGTTTACAATTTATTTTTTTAAAATCCACAATTTTTGATGAGCCTGTATTGTATTCACAAATTTTCAAAACTTAAAAACACAATTTATGTTCTTATTGGTTCACAATTCCAATTCCAATTCCAATACTAAAAATACACAATTTAGGACCAAAGTCCACCTTGCAAGGTGGACTCTGGTCTATGGTATAACAACTACAACATGTTTAAACCAAGATGAGGAGCAAACACAATCATATGGACCATGATCCACACAAAAACCATACTATCAAATAATGTACATTCAGTACATAAATAATAAACTTTTAGTATATTAAAAATGTACATTATATTCAGTGAAAGTACATTATTTGAATACTGAAAATACATTAATTAATCTATGTATTGTACATTCAGTACATGAATAATATACTTTAAACATATTAAAAATATAATTTTTAGTATGATCCATACAAAACTATGTACTCAATAGTCCACACAATAATTTGCCGAGCACACATCATATTCTTAAAATTAAATAATTAAATAATTAAAGGAATAAGGGTCAAATAGGCCACTGAACTGCACACCAAAATGCAATTAGATCATCGAACTCAAAAACAATGCAATTGGGTCCCTGAACTACACAAAATCATGCAATTAGGTCCAAAATGACTTGTTTACCTGAAATGCAGGTTACCAATTTTAAAAATAATTTATAAATATTTTTTAAAATAAAATAATTAATTAAAATTATATAATTTAAAAAAAAAAAAAAAAAAAAAAAAAAAAAAAAAAAACGAAAACTAAAACTGCCGGAGACGAATCGTCTCCGGCAGTCTTTCGTCTCCATGGCCGGAGACGAAAGCTTCGTCTCCGGCCATCCGGCCATGGAGACGAAGAGCTTCGTCTCCCTGGCCATGGAGACGAAGGCTTCGTTTCCAAGGCCGGAGACAAAGCTTTCTTCTCCGGCCATGGAGACGAAGAGACCTTCGTCTCCATGGCTAGGGAGACGAAGCTCTTCGTCTCCAAGGCCAGGGAGACGAAGCTCTTCGTCTCCATGGCCGGAGACGAAGAGCTTCGTCTCCATGGCCAGAGACGAAGAGCTTCGTCTCCATGGCCAGAGACGAAGAGCTTCGTCTCCGACAGTTCTAGTTTTTTTTTTTTAATTAATTATTTTATTTTAAATTATATTTAAAATTTATTTTTAAAATTGATAACCGCCACGTCAGCACAATTTCAGGTCAACAGGTCATTTTAGATCTAATTGCATGAGTTTGTGTAGTTTAGGGACCCAATTGCATTATTTTTGAGTTCGATAGCCTAATTGCACTTTAGTGTGCAGTTCAGTGGCCTATTTGACCCTTATTCCATAATTAAATAATTAATAGTAATATTATATTCCTTTAAATTAAATTAGCATTCTGGTTCCCTTCGGCTTTCATAACCCGTAAAGGCCCAACCCAAACATCAGAGGGCAGAGGCTACAGAGGTGGGATAGTTATGCTGTGCATCCGTATGCACCATGCATGGTGCATACGGATGCCAAAACGACGTCGTTTTATTAAAAAATGCGCGTCTCCCCTTTAAAAAAAATTCAGGTTCAATTCCCAGCAACAACATTATATTGTTCATTCATTCTAGAATTTTAGTTCATAGATTATGGAATTATAGTTCATTGATTATGGAATTATAGTTCATCGATTATGGAATTGTAGTTCATCGATTCTGAAATTTTAGTTTATAGATTATGGAATTTTAGTTCATTCATTCTGGAATTTTTAGTTCATAGATTAGATTATGGAATTATAGTTCATCGATTATGGAATTTTAGTTCATATGTTGTTGCTGGGAATCGAACCTGATTTTTTTTTTTTAAGGAGAGACGCGTGTTTTATTAAAACGATGTCGTTTTTGCATCCGTATGCACCATGCATGGTGCATACGGATGCACAGCATAATTTGCCACAGAGGTGAGGGTTTCTTTCACTTTTTTCTTCCTAATCTCCTTTTCTTTACGAAATCTTGCAGATTCTCGCAACGATTTTGGGTTTTGATTTCGACTGCCGCCTCATTGTTGTTTCAGTTTAATGGCTCAACGTCGGCGAATCGAAACCGTACCGGATGCAAGTAGGGATCTAATAAGTCATCTACCGGTAGAGATAAAGGACAGAATTTTGGAGTGTTTGCCCACCCGAGATGCTGCCAGAACTGCTCTGCTCTCAACCCACTGGAATGATGCTTGGTTGCAGCATGGGCGGCTTGCATTTGATTTGAACTTCTTCTTGTATTTCCTAGAACGCGAACGTGGCTTACCTTACGTTAAAATAATAACATGCATTCTCTTGCAGCGTGTTCGACCCGTGAAGAAATTTAGTTTAGACATCAATTTACTCAGATTAGTTGATCCTAATCTGGAGCAGTCCGATTTAGACCCGTGGTTTCTTTTTCTATCAAGAAATGGCGTTGAGGAACTCAACATCTCTCATCTGGGCAGACGATATAAGCTGCCACTTTGTATATTCTCATGCCTTACAATCAAGCAGCTGAGACTCAGCAGTGTGTATTTTGATTTCCCAGTAAATGTTCCTTGTATTTTTCCCTGTGTCACTTCATTAGTTTTCTCGAGTGTTGTTTTTAATCATAATGTTAATGAAACAGTGTATAGTATTCCTAATCTTGAGAAGCTTGATTTATTTAGTTGTAGCCGGATCAGTAATTTTAAGATTAGGGCTCCAAAACTTGAGAGCTTGTCTATTACTGAAGTTATATGTCCGGTTGAATCGAGATGGTTTGCACTTCATTTGAAATCAATTAAGGTTCTTTGCATGGAGGGCCGTTTCTGGTTGGTGAGAATCTATCTTCCTTCATATATATATATGGACTATAGTATTAACAGATTAAATATTCTTTTCCTTGTGGTTTGTTAGAGTTCTTTTCAAGTCTCATATAATCTTTTGTTTTTGTTAAAGAATTGGGAAGATATTGAAGTAGCCTCCTTCCCAACTGCAGTGAATCTGCAAGTAATCAAACTGCATTCTTTCAAGTTTGCCAATGAAAAGCAGCTCAAGGGTGTTTTGCAGTTGCTTCAAAAATCTCCCAAACTATGTGAACTGGAGATAACAGGAGTAAGTTTTGTGAGACAAAAATTAAACCTTTATAGAGTATATATTTGCCCGTCGTGATTTTTTGTTTTCTTTATTTCCTCATGGTTAGTTGTACATGTTTTTTATTTTATTTTATTTGTTGTTGAGTTGTAGACATATTTCGATAATGATGACATAGAAGCTGCTTCAAGACTTTTGACGGATCCAGAGAGTTGCATTATTAATGAAGATCTAAAAATGCTTAAAACAATCAAGATTACACTGTTTTGTGGTACCACAATTCAAATGCTTTTTGTGAAAATGTTGCTTTCAAAATCCCCTATACTAGAGAGAGTTGTTATTACAGACTCTTATTACATAAAAGATAGTTGCACGGTGATCAAGTTCCTAAGGGGGTTGCTGTGCTTCCCTTGGGCATCTACAAAAGCAAAAATTGTCATCAAGTGCAAAGACTATGCTTAAGGACTGGTTAGTTTAAACATGCTTCAGTTTGTATGCAACATAGAAATGTATAGTAAGCAATGGTGATGGTGGAACTTGAAATGTTTTGTTAGATAAGGTGTTAAGTAGACTCCATGAATATCTTTTAAGCAATGGTGATGGTGGAACTTGAAATGTTTTGTTAGATAAGGTGTTAAGTAGACTCCATGAATATCTTTTATTAAATTTTTGCTTCTGTTAATTGCTCTAAATTTTACTTCACATAATGTGATGTTGGTGCTTACTGCTTAGCCAAGTGTTTCTTATGACTGAAATGCAATGGTGTTTCCATTTTCATTTTGGAAAATATTATAACCGTATTTGGTAAATTAGTTAGTGTATCAGTCAATTTTGACTTATTTGACCACTATTAACTGTTTGATTTGGTATACGAATCCATTTGCGCATGCTTACCATGCATGGATTGTTAAACTTAGATGAAAGAGTAGCATTCCAAACCACCTGATTACGCACATATATACCAGACCGTCTCCAGGATCGTCGTCGTGAAGAGTAAATGAAAAATACTCTCAAAAGACCTTATGGTTTACAATCAATTTCGCATTGTTTAACCAGAAAAAGGTTCGATCTGATTAATTACCATTATTCTTGCCATATTATTATATTAGTAATTGTCATGCACGAATAATATTTATAGACTATTAAGTAAAGTTAATTGAATATTAACATTTATTCCATGTTTATAAATTGTTTATTAACATTCACCGCATGACTAATTGCAAAATTATTTATTTGTTTATTCTTCTTTTTTTTTAAATGATTATTATGTTTAATTATTAATTAATTATTTATTTTTAAAATTATAAAGTAGACCAACTTATAGATCTAACATATTGCAATTAAACACTAATAAATAAAGACAACAATTAAGATGGAATACTCTATCTCATAAAATTATATTAAGAAAGAATCACTACTTAAAAAGTAAACGAAATTAAACGAAATATATTAATATTATTAACCGTAATAATATTACTTTTATTAGTAGTATTAATATTATTAATAATATTTTTAGTAGTCCACTAATCCACTACTTAATTAATGTATACAAATTAATTAAAGTTATGAGTTATGTATGCAGATTATATGTAATAATTCTATATACCAAATAATAATATTAATATTATTAGTAGTATTAATATCGGATTTACATTCAGGTAAAAACACATCTTAAAATACAAACATATGGACAATTTGACGCCGTTGGATAGTGGTATTGGACGGTCTTGATTTTTTCATCCTACGCGCTGTGTGCATGTAAGTATGATAATGTGTGCACGAGCTTTGATAGATTGTTGTGATTTTTCCTCCTATGCGTTGTGTGCATGTAAGTATGTTAATGTGTGCACGTGCTAATCTCAGAAATTGTTGGCAGTACGCCATGTGTGCATGTAGGTATATTAATGTGTGCACGAGCTCAAGTTTGTATTTTAAGGGGGGTTTGTATTTGAATGCAACCCATTAATATCATTAATACTTTTAGTAGTCCACTAATCCACTACATAATTAATGTATACAAACTTAGGGTTGGGGTTTCGTCTTTTTGGAAGAATTAATGTATATAAATTAATTAAGGTTATGAGTTATGTATGCAAATTATATATAATGATTCTATATACCAAATTTAAATTAATTTAATTTTATTAAGTATTGTAATGTTATGTTGACTGATTTCAAATTTCAAACTAAATTTTTTTTGTCCACAATGAGCAGGAAAATGACACTTTTATTTTAATATATATATATATATATATATATATATATATAGATAGATTATTGGTATTTTTATTCGCATTAGTCCTAATTTTTTTCCGAAAAAAATGTCTTAAAGGCATAAATATGTAATTATTCTAGCATGCAACTTTGCCATAATAATTTCCTACTACACATGTTTGTATGCAGTTTCTATAATTTTTTTGGAGTTATGTATGTTTCTTTTATATATAGAGGACTCTGGCCAATCAAAATCTATAATATTTTGGCTATCCTAGCTTGTCAAACCTGTGAGAGGCAACATTGGCCATTACCAACATCAGATAACATTTGATGGTAATTGTTGGTTTTACGGCTTCGGATGTCGGCCGACTGGTCAACACTACCGTAAAATACTATAAATGAAAGTTTATTGTGAATAGATCAATGGAGAGAATAATGTGATATTATTTCTCTAGGGCTTCAGCCGCTTAAGTACCAAAAGAAGCCAAAATGATCGATCCCTTTACAATCCCAGGAAGATATTTATACAAGAATACAAACTCGTACAAGGAAATTATGTTTGGCGTAGAGCCAAAATCTACAAGGAAATTAAAGTAGGGCTGACGCGTAGGGCCGAATCAGCTATGGAAGCTGGCCTTTATTGCACCTTAGTTGCCTAAATTAATAAAGGAAGCTACTTGCATTAAATGCGGAAAGTAAATCTCCGTGGGACATGTCTGTAACCGCCTCTGGGGAGTACTAGGTCGGGGAGTATCCTGGTTGCTGAGGAGATGCCCCCGGGAGGCCGCGGTGCTCGGACGAAGATGTCCCGACCGCGTGACCTGGTCGCTTGATTGACCTCCTGAATAGTTCCCAGCCTGGGATGCGTTGCCTGCGGAGCCTAGTCGCCCGCCCGAATTTTGCGAGGCGATCGGTCGGGGACACAACAGTTGTCGCATCTGCCCGCTTTGCTCAAGCCGACTGACCTTCACTTGGGCTGGCAGTCGTACTTCCTGGTGGTCGGTTGTCGAGAGCCGGCTGGCTACGATCTCCCGGTACCCTACCTGAAATCGCGAGTGTTGCCTTTTGCTAAGTGTCGCATCGCGTTCACACCTGACCGTCTGACCTTATCTTCTCGGCCGGGTATCCATTTCGGGGTATCTATCAGTCATAAAATTGTCAAACAACATCCTGCTGATACTAGATACTTGTTTTTTCAAAGACAATATTTTATAATTATCTTATATTAGCCCTTGTGTGCATGTTTATATCACTATGTGATTTTTTTAACTATGACAATTAGTTAATACTCCGTAGAATATATGACATGCATCCAAATTGATGCTTTGTCTCTAGAGAGCATGACTGATAGATAAAAATTATGATATATAAAAATTATGATATGTCATCTTGATGAGTTCACTCTATACGATATTGTATGTTGAGTACTCTAATTATCATGCAACAATTATTTGAGATAAACGATGAATATCATATTTTTAGCCAAAGCTCTAAACTTAAATTTTGATAGAGCTTTGCCAGGAAGGTAAATTAAGTAATTATGTAGGAAAATTATTATCTATTTTGGGGACCTCAAAAATCTAGAAACCGCTATGATTATTCAGTACATATCATAAACACCTAGCTAGTACGTGGTTTAACACCGTGCATTTCCCCATCTGTGTTAAGCCTTTTAGTGTACAGTCCTTCCTTTTCATATATCACCACAATAATGTATTATTATATTACGAGCTATCAACTACCTGAAGCCCATAATGAGGAATCAAAAAGAACGTTGATTGCATAATATATTTTAAGATCATTTCTCGACATTAGGGAGAGATTTGAGTCCGAATTTAATAGAATGCTGAGAAAATTTATAAAGTCAAAAATGTCCATTATTGTTGTTAGACATTAATTTTAAGTTAAAAAAGGAAGGGGTAATTTTGACTCATCACTATCTTTTTTTCCCAGGAATTAAAATACCAGGGGGAGACATGGGATTTTAATTCCATGAAAATTGGGGAATTGCAATTCCCTCCAACCAAACTACGGAATTTAATGGCCTTTGGAATTAGGTGGGAATTAAGTGGGAAGGGAATTTAAAATCCTTCCAACCAAACGCCCTGTAAAAGTCCATTTCATATATATTAAGAGTTAAAATCCCCAACTAATAGGACGGATATCTCTACCGTTTTTTCCTTTATGCCGGAAGCAGGGATCGGAATTTATCAGTTTAAGAATTTGCAAAAACTAGATCTAGTATAGAAATCTCGTCACTTCTGAAAAATAAAAATTTTTATCCTGAAGATATGGGAGGCAAAAACCCTCACTAAAACTATAGGTGTACTAAATAATTAAAATACTGGGGAATTAGCGGAACAACCAAACTCAAACATTTTTTGGGAAGTGACATATATTTGGTTGATATGAAATTTGCCATGACCCATGAATATGGAAGATATTTATAAATAAAGCTATTGCAGTTGTTGACAAAATATTTGCCTCTATAATTGCTCACATTGTTTAAATCTTGATCCAGAAGCTAAAGCAGTAG